AGAGGAAGACATCACAGAGCATGCATATAAGCATAACCAATGGACATAAGACACTGGGGAATAGGGGAGGTTAGGGGACTGTCTAGGGCGGGGGGGAAAAATGGACACATATGTAATACCCTTTGCAATACTTTAAGCAATAAAAAAAAAAATTTAAAAAAAATGGAGCTAGCCCAGCCAGCCCATCAAACTGGAAATATCATTCACACAAATACTGATCCTACACATGGGCACCAGCTGGGCCTACAATTAAGAAAGAGCCTGAGATTTCTATAGTATGTGCCTTTTTAAAAATATTTTTCTATTGTGGTACAATATACACAAAACTTACCATTTTAACCCTTTTAAAGTGTACCCTTGAATGGCATTAAGTGCATTCCCATTGTTGTGTAACTGTCTTCACCATCCGTCTTCTGAACTTCTCATCTTCCCAGACTGTGAAACTCTGTCCCCATTAAATACCAACTCCCCATTCCCTTCCCCCCAACCCCTGCCCCAGCAGCCACCTGCTACTTTCTATCTTTATGAATTTGAATACACTGAGTACCTCATTCGAAGCAGAATGTATGCTTTCAGTAGGGACCTACTATTTGCTCAGCACTCTGCTGGACTTTATGGGGAGAATCTATAAAATTATGAGATCTGATTCCTGCCACTCAGATCATTATAACTGAGGTGTAAAGACAAGGCTAGCTTCTAAGAAACAATATATAGGTGCATGATATCGACTTCAAGGACAGGAGAAATTTAGATGAGAGAGAGCCCTGTAGGCTGGTATGGTCCAAGAAGTCTTCATAAGAGGACTGAGAATGAGGTTTGGTTGGGCAGAGGGGAAGATTCTGGATCAACAGTAATTCACAAATCCAGGCAGGCTGGGTCATCACGAGTAGAAGCAGCCGAAACCGTGGGCCACAGCATTCCCACCTGGTTTCTGAGGACAGGATGATAAACCCGAGACCTGTGGGTCAGACTACTGCTTGTATCCCCAAGTCACACATGCAGTGGTTTCCTTTTCTCCTATTGCAAAAGATACAAAAGAAAATCAAAGGTTTTCTGTTGCTGTGGTTGTTATTCTTTATGATTATCTCAGAAAACAACCAAGCCAGCTCTTTTGGCAAAGGGAGTTAGTAAAAACCTCCGAAGCTTGCGTGGGATGCCTGACCACCAGGGTCAGGTCACATCAACCCTGACCACAGCGGGGGGTCACAGACGCCTGGAGTTGTGGTGAGTGAGATAAGCCTCCAGATGCTCACTCTAACCAGTTATTCTGGTCACACTGGCCCTTTAAGCAAGCAGTATGGAATACTCCCCCTCCCCACCACCAGCACCCCCTCCAGCACTTGGAGCAAGTGGCCAGAGGAGCAGCACCCCTCAAAGCTGTCTGTGTAGGGTTGCTCCTGCCCGCATCCCTTCCCCCATCTCCTCCTGCTGGTCTGCTTTCCAAGCATAAGCCTCATCTAGGGACCCTGTGGGTAAGAACAGGCAGGCCTGTGGCTCTCTCACTCCTATGGCCTTGTCTTTTCTGTTCTTTTCTCATTACCTTTTCTCTTTCTTCCTTTCAGGATATGGTAGTTAAAAAAAAAAAAAAAAAGTAGTCTCTACTTTTAGACAAAAACATCCTTGGTGTCTCACAGCATGTAGGTTTGAATCTGAATATCCTTTCAACTGCATGTATGCTCACAGAAATTGCAAATGTGGGGCTAAGTGAAGCAGCCAGGAAGTGCACATGGACCTTTGCGAGGCATTTTACAACCCTAGGAGAAGAAAAATGTGAAACGGCAGCAAGTTATCCTGCGTGGATAACCTGC